TGGGATCGCCAGCCAAACCCGACGGTTCTCATCGCGAGCCTGTCGGAGATGGCCAGCAAGGAGAAGGTTAATGCGGAGGCAGGTGTGGCGGAGAATCAGTATAAGCTTGTTGGTGACAGCCCCAGCAGGAAGTACGTCATACAGATGCTCGGCAACGGTGATGCTGCACAACGCAAAGTACGTGCGGCGCGACGGGCGCTCAAGCGGGACGCTCAGAACTGGATGCAATCGGAGACTGATGCAGCGCCTGGTGGACGGGCAAGAATATTCGTGGGTCTGGACAAATCGGCGAGACAAATCAGAACGGATGTACAAACAAAACGCCTGGCGTCCTTCGTCAAAGATCAGTTACCAAACAAAAGAATCAAGCATGACAGAGCCAAGGGAATTGTGTTTAACGACAGCATACCGACGATTACGGTCCAGACGGGCGACTCCGAGCCGCCTGCTTTGGAACTACACCGCAGTCACCTCGCAGGGAGTGGGCCAGAAGGCGCTGCAGGATACGTTCAATGCTTCATTCAATGCGGTCGAGGACTCTGTGCAATGGTCGATTTAACAGGACCCTGCAAGTATGGAAAGAAGACTTCAAGAGAGGCATTCCGAAGCAAGTGGCATTCATGACATGGAATACGCGGGCACTATTGCATCACGATATGGGGTTGCGGACCAAAAAATGTAACAAGCTAAGAGTGCTCTGCAGGAATATTTCGATTGTAGCGTTGCAGGAGGTTCATGGCACAAAGGAGGAACTCAGGTTTCAACTGTATCTAAGACGAATGGATATGGCTATATTCGCATCGATTCCTGATCATGCGGCAGGTGGCGTAGCATTCATACTTCCAGACATGGCGCGGGAACAAATGGAAGAGGGGTTGGAAACGGAAAGGATTATATGCACAGACATCATCCCAGGTCGGGTGCAAAGATTGGCTATAAAGGCAAGAGGGAACATGGACAGGTCGGATACAATGCTGGCGTGTCGGATACAATGCTGGCGTGTTACAATATTCACAATTATGGCCTTTCTGCGCTGCAAGTCAATCGACTGACGAACAGGATCAGGGCGGAAGTTCAGATTGCGATGACTTGCCCTGCCCATATGACGGTGGTGGTGCTGGGGGATCTCAATTATCACGAAGTGGCACCTACTCATCTACACGTCCCGCTCATCGACAAAGGAGTGGGCACTGGCCCGCGCAGCCGTGAACACGGGGAGCTTTTCTCACAAGGTTTGGAGGGCATGATTGAGCTAGACCCAGAGAGGCCAACACATTTTGTGAAGGACGGACAGAAGTTGACGCAGATCGATCGGGTGATGATATCTACACCACAGTGGAAGCTGCTACATTGGAACGTGACGGCTACAGTACCCGTGGACCCTGAGAGATTGGATGATGAAGGTATTTCGGATCATGCACCGGTGCAAGTGGTTTTCTATCCCAGACGTCGAAGGCCTCCTGAAGATCAGGTTGTTCCGTGATTTGTCTGTGAGACGGCGGAGTACACGGAGATGCTGGACGAGCTGATCAGCCACTCGGACATTGATCGGCTGCCGCCGATACCACGATGGAGGGAACTGAAAAGGTTGATGCGTGAGGCTGCGCGCGCTGCGAGGAGTCGTCTCGCTAGATCGGGCACCCCACCTTTGGAGGCTCGTCTGATGATCTTTAGATCGGTTGCCAGAGCTGTCCACTTTGATGATCTTGACCTGGCCAGGAAGCTCCTGTCCAAGGCTGCTATTGCGAGGGACCTCATGAGGCTTGAAGAGGGCCCTGTCACCGCGGTCTCTCTGATTGACCCAATGCACTTTCGTAGGCAGCATGAGCAGTTGCAGCCAGAAGTGCTTGCCAGCCGCCTCGCCAGGGCCCAGGAAGAGGTCCAAGCAGAGTCGACCCCCTTTATGGAACGCAAGAGACTGCGTGCGTCTATGAAGGCTGAACGGCGACGGGGGAAGCTCTGGGCTCCGAAAGGAAAGACTCTACCCCTCCAGGGCCTTGTTGACCCCTCGGGCGAGACCCTCTCCTCTCCTCTCCTCATGAAAGAAGCGCTCAGAGAGCACTGGGCCCCCGTCTTTTCGCCGAAGTCAGCCCCGTTGAAGCATGTAGATGCGTATCTGTCTAAGCATGCAAAGCAGTTCGACTGGTCAGATCTGAAACCGCCGTCAGAGGAGCAGCTGCGCAATGCGCTCATGCATGCCTCTCCTACGGCTCCTGGCCCTGATGGGCTCCCGTACTCGGCGTGGAAGGGTGCGAAGTTAGCGGTACCTGTGCTCCACGGTCTTCTTCTGGAACTCTTTTCGGGACTCCCTCCCCCTCCTGAATTAAATGACTTGCCGCTGGTTTTCGCTCCCAAGGGCAGGAAGGTGGAAGATGCGAGCTTTGTGGTTCGCGAGCCTGCCACTGCCAGACCATTGGCCCTCAAAAACACTGGCGTCCAGATTTTGTCAGCAGCATGCAATCAGTGTCTCAAGCCGACCCTGTCAAAAGAGCTGCATAGTGACCGGCGTGGATTTGTGGCAGGAAGGAACTTTCTTGACAACATAACCCTGCTAGAGTTCTCAGCTAGGATTGCCAGCATGCTCCCCTCGGCGGCTGCTAACCTCCCTCTTCTCCTTCTCCTCGACTTTGGCAATGCTTTCCCCTCTCTGATCCATCTGTTTCTCTGGAGGGTTCTAGAGCTGGCAGATCTTCCTGCAGGCTCCCGCCTCTTCCTGCATGCCACCTATGCCATTGCGACGGCTCGTGTTGCACTTCAGGGATTGTTGCTCCCGTTCTGCCTAATTGACTCAGGAGTGATGCAGGGTGACCCGTCCAGTGGCAGCTTGTGGGCGTTGGCGATGGACCCTCTAATTCGGGACATGCGCAGCAGGCCCCGTAAGTATCCTGGGCCGGAGGTGGGGGTTTGTGCGGATGATGTGGGGGTGGCGGTGAGGGGGCTCGCGGCACTTGCAAGATTGTCGGGCACATTTTATGCTGCGCATCTGCTTGCTGGCCTGTGGCGTAAAATTCCGAAGTGCCAGATCACCCCTGTCTCTGCCCCTCTCACCTCCCAGCTAGCTGAGCAGGTCCAGAGCAGATTGAGCCAGCTCGTCCCGAGGTGGGCAGCGATGCCGATTGTCTCAGCGGCGGAATATCTTGGGGTGTGGATCGGCCCAGCAGCATCGAGAGAGTTGATGTGGCGTCGTGCGTTTCGTGAGTGGGTTGTGGCTGTCAAAGAGTTAGCTGCGACTAAGGCCGCCCCCTCGATTGCTGTCACTTTGTACAACTCGAGAGCTGTGTCGAAGTTCAGCTGCCTTTCTCAGCTTTCTTGCATGCCACAGCCCGTCCTGAGATGGGAGTCGTGGGCTCTCCATAAGGTACTCCACCTCCTTGCCTTCTCTTTTCCCCTGTCTCGATTGCTCGCCTTGCGACAATGGTCGAAGATTCGCCCGCAGTCAGCGCTCGTTCAATCGCTCGCGGCTCTCCTGCGCACATCCAGACCGACAATCATGAATTGGCGTTCGTTGTGGAAGGCCCAGCAGCAGGCGGCGAGAGAAATTTTGCCAATGAAGATGTGGATCCAGGGCAAGTGGGAGCCTGAGCACTGGATCGAGCCGTCATACGTACAGGAGCTTGCTGCCGCTGCTGATGGCTTCTCCTCCTCCCGCCGTCTTGCCCGTCCTGTTGCTCTTGCCATGGATGCTCTCAGTGAGGCGCAGGGGCTCCAGGCTGTGAACGGGGGTCTTCTCGTCCATGTTCAGAGGACGATCTCGAGGCACCTGGAGGCTAAGCTTTTCCAGGAAAATCTAGGATACACCATATTCCAGCGAATGGAGAAGTGGACTGCTGCGCCTCTTCCTCCCCAAGCCAAGGCTGCGTGCAGCTGGAAGATGCTCGAAGAGTGTCTCAGTGCCCTGCAGCCCTCCTGGCAAGCCTCGACTATTAAGACGGTGGTGGGGGGTTGGACGACGGAGCGGGGGGTTCGACAGACCAATATTCCCTGTAAATTCGGTTGCCCCAATGAGCGCGACACACAAAAACATTATTTGTCTTGTCCGTTGCTGTGGGGTGCTGTGCAAGCCGTTTGGGATCCGTCGACTCCGTCCGAGGTCTTACTTGATCGTAGGCTGGGGATCGCCAAAGATATGACAGGAGAGCAACGATTGCTCGCTGTGCAGCGCCTGATTTTGAGTTTCTACTTATATAACTCGACTCGGAGTCAGGCCAATGTTGATCCAACGTTGATTGCACAGCATGCCCGTGATGCCAGAGCGCAGCTACTGCAGCAACTGGACGATCGAACGAGCTAAGCGACTACGAACTCATGCCGAGCTACGTGCGAGGAAGAGGAGCAGGAACAGGAACAGCAGGAACAGCAGCAGGAGGGAGGAGGGAGGAGTAGCAGGACAGGAGCAGCAGAAGGAGGGAGGAGGGAAGGAGGGAGGGATGTAGGGAGGGAAGGAGATGGAGGAAGGAGGGAGGGAGGGAGGGAGGGAGGGATGAGGAGGGAGGGAGGGAGGGAGGGAGGGAGGGAGGGAGGGAGGGAGGGAGGGAGGGAGGAGGGAGGAGGAGGAGGAGGAGGAGGGAGGAGGAGGAGGAGGAGGAGGAGGAGGAGGAGGAGGAGGAGGAGGAGGAGGAGGAGGAGGAGGAGGAGGAGTAGGAGGAGGAGGAGAGGGAGGAGGGAGGGGAGGAGGAGGAGGAGGAGGAGGAGGAGGAGGAGGAGGGAGGAGGAGGAGGAGGAGGAGGAGGAGGAGGAGGAGGAGGAGGAGTGAGGAGAGAGGAGGAGGGGAGGGGAGGGAGGAGGAAAAGGAGGAGGAGGAGGAACGGAGGAGGAGGAGGAGGAGGAGGAGGAGGAGGAGGAAAAGGAGGAGGAGGCCGGAGGGGAGGGGGAGAGGGAGGAGGAGGAGGAGGAGGAGGAGGAGGAGGAGGAGGAGGAGGAGGAGGAGGAGGAGGAGGAGGAGGAGGAGGAGGAGGAGGAGCAGGGCGGCGACGTCAAAACCGTTTTTGGTTATACCCCAGGTATCTGCACCGCGTGGGGCGCGCGGGCCGCTTCGGCACCAAGGGGCTGGCGATTACCTTTTCGGCGACGGACGAGGCCCCACGCGGCGGGCATGGGGGAGCGAGGAGTAGGGCGTCGAGTAAAGGGGTGCGATTAATGGGGGGGGGCCCTAAAGAAAGGTACGCCTGTGGTGCACCAAATGCGCCCTCAAGGGGCCCCCTGGGGCCCAAAGGTTTCTCTCCCACAAAAATTGTCGCCCACCTGTTACTTAACGCCCGAAGGACGGGCGCAGGCGGGGTTTTCGAGGTTCAAGGTTTTGCGAGGTTAGAGGCTCGAGGTTTTCGAGGTGCGAGGGTTGATGGTGTCTTCAAGGTTATGCGTGCGACGCACGTTTTTGCTATGCATGTTTTTACCTGTGGCGTCCCAGGAAGCAGCCCGATCCTCCGATCTGCCGCCGCTCGGGTTCAAGCTTGACGCCGGTACGCAGCAGCCTCCTCCAGCCACCGCGGCAGGTGCGATTCTTGCCTTCGGATCGGCTTCGCGGCCCAGGAGCGGATCGGACCCGCGGTGTCTCCCGAGCCAGGCTTGGCGCGGGGACGGCCCAGGCCACGTGCTGGAGGGCAGCCCATTTCACGACCACCCGGACAGACGCGACGTCGGTGCCCTGCCCCAAGTTCGATCCCTGGATCCACTGCTTGGCGCCTCCGGCGCCGACGCTGGCCGCGGCCGAGATCCTGCGTGTGGTCGGCGAAAGCCTGGCCGCGACGGTGGAGGTGCTGGTCGTGCCTGTCAGCGTGCGCGTCATTGCCCTGCAGGCTTCTGTCGGCTGGAGATGCTGCCAACGGTGTCACACGAGAGTGGCTGCAAGACGGGGGCTGGGGCCAGTCGGGGAGGCGCGTATACGCGTGCGGTGATGGCGTGTCTCGATGGAGCGGTGTTTGGACTTCGTGTTCTGGTGCAGTATGTGTGTATATATATATATATATATATATATATATATATATATGTATGTTTATATATACATATATTCCTCTTCCTATATTTTTACAAGCCCGGGCGGCCGCAAAACCCCGCACCCCCCCCCCCCCCCCCCCCCCAAACCGGACTCCTGGGATCCTGGGACTTTGGGACCCTCCGGACGCCCATTGAAGCGGTCCCGAGTGCCTCAAGAGCGCTCCAAGACAGGCACAAAGCGCTCCAAGACGCCAAAGATAGCCCCAAGACAGCCTCAGGAGCCCCCAAGACGCCCCAAGCGGCCCCAAAGAAGCCCCCCAAGACGGCCCCGGGAGGCCGAAATGGTCAATTTTCCAATGTGTTTTTCGATGTTTTCTGCTTTCTCGCCATTTTAGCTTTCCGACGCTCCAAGACAGAACTAGAGGCCCTCAAGAGCGCCCCAAGATGGCCCGGGGGGCCCCCAAAACGGCCCCAACACGGCCCCAAGACGGCTCTGGAGCGCCCCGAAACAGCCCAAGAGGCGCCCAAGAAGGCCCAAGAGGGCCCCGAGAAAGCTTCAAACGAGCCCCCACAGGGCGATCAAAAGTTCAAACATCTAACTTTCCGCCCCAAGTGGGCCCCAGGAGGCCCCAGGAGGGCCCCAAGAGGCCCCAAGAGGCTTCCAAAGGCCCCGAGGACTCCCAAAAAGAACCCACGAGGCCCCAAAATGGCTCTCCAAAAGGCAGCCAAAACGGCCCCCCAAGAGGCTTCAAAACTGCTGAATCGCCCCACTTGACCGCCACCTCCGGAACGGCTTCGCTGCGCTGCTCCGTTGTTTGCCAGACAGTGGCATCCCACGCAAAACACCAAAATGCTTGACATCCCGGGTTCGCAACCAAATTCCCGGGAAATCGGCTGCGAACCCGGGATTCGGCACATTTCCCCGGAATTCGGTAGGTGTCCTTAGCATTTCCAGGATCCGGTACGTTGCCTGCATGCTTGCTGCCCTATGCCCTATCGCATCCCAGAATAATCGTTCCATGGAGGTTTCACGAGGGCCCTTCCAAGTCATTAAGGAAACTTACCTTACCTCATGATATTCCTCCCTTCGCCGCGCCTCCCCAAATCGTCCTCCACTTCTTTCCCGCCCCTTCTGTCCGACGTTTTGTATTTCCGGAGCCTCCACGGCCGCTCTCATCGCCGCTGATCGGTCCGCTGGGACATTCTCATGGAGTCCCAGTGGCGCGCGGACCAGCAGAGCGAGGGCGCGAGCAAGTAAGGTGCAGGTCCGGGAACTGGGCGCGAACCAACCGCGGTTCAAAGACCGTGGAGGGCCGCGCTAGACGCCAACGCGCGCAAGGGTTGAAGGACCAAGGTGCATGGCGCGAAGCGCCAATGCAGTCTTGTATATATATATATATATATATATATATATATATGAGTGACTGACTGGCTGAAGCCGAGCATCCCTGACGGACGCGTGGGCAAATTGGGTGAAACAGTATACAAAATAATGTGCAAGTGCACGAGCACAGGAGGAAGAGAAGGAGGGACTGGGGATAGAGACTTACAACAGCTTGTAAACTGACATCGCCCACTGCTATCTCAGGCGGCCCCATCGCCTGCGGAGGGCCCATTCAATATGGGCACCGCCGGCACCTCATACTACTTGTTTAACCAGTGAGGCGTTGGTACGAGAAACGGTTTTCTTGTACAAATGTGTTTGCCGATCGCTTAAAATCGCGGACTGCGCGTCGCCGGCGTCAATTGCGCGTCGCCGATCCTTCTCCTGCGCGTCGCCGGCGTCAATTGCGCTGTGCCTGGTTTTCGCTTTACGACCTGTTTGGACGGCGCGCAGATGCCTGCGTCGCTCGCGAGCAAAAAGTAAAATCGCGGACAACGGCTTGGAGACGACCCCGGCCAGGCGCACGAACGCTTTCCGTGCGGGCCCTCATCCGCCGACTTCTCTAGCTGGACGGTGCACGCCAGGGGCATCCATTTGTATTCAGAGCATCGGCCCGACTATTCGTCACTCGTGACGTGGGCGGGGGGGCGGGCCTATCCAGCAGGCGCGCGAGACGTGGCTGGCTACTGTTGGGAGCTGCAGACAGCTGAGATTTTCAGCGTCGCCCGCCGCGGCTGGGCCGAGGTCATGGACGAGCGCGGCGTCGACGCGGCGGCTTAGGCTGGGCCGGGCGTTGACTGGTCCGGCGGCCAGCTGCAGGTGCCAGCTGCGACCGCGGTGGAGGCGCCGAAGCTCACCACCCACCAAACCACCCCAACCCAACCCGAAGGCTCAGATTTACCTTCGATTTCCAGTTGGGGGGGGTCGGGAAACATAGAAAAAACACGTGTGGAACCCTTGCCCCCCCCAACCCGAAATTCGGGTCTTCGGGTTGGGTTGGGGCGGTCTGGTAGGTAGTCAGGAGGCGCCGAAGCTTGGCCGGCGGTTGCGTGGCAAGCAGGCGCCGGCCCCGACGGACCCCCCCTTCCTCGACAGCGCAGCCCCGGCGGACGCGGCCATGCTGCCGCCGGCCGCGCCGCGGGGCCGCCCCCTGGGCGCGCGGGCGGCATCGTCGCTCGAGGGGGGCTCGTCTGAGCTTGGGCGCCAGATCGAGCTGCCCAGACCTCTTCGAGTCATGAAAAAATCACGACGGGAGGTTTTTCGCTATTTTCGGCCTCTGAGGGCCCTCGCCGGGCCTCGGGAGCGTCAAAAAACGACTCGGGATGAAAAACCGGTCCCGGGGGGTGGGTCTGGACCTCTGGGGGTCGCGTCATGAAAAAATCATGACGTCGGGGGTCTGGGTGACAGAGGTTCCCTATAGGGTACGTGGCGGGCGAGTCGGTGGAGGACTGGCGCGACGACGAGTTGGTGGTCGGTGGTCGTCTTCGGCCACCTCGCCGCGCTCGAAGATCGGTTCTTCGCTGCCGACGGCGGTGGCGACGCCGACGCTCCGCCTGTTGGGCCGGCGCCCGCTGCGGGGGCAGACGGGGCTGCCGGCGGTGGTCTCGAGGACTTGCGGACGCATTGGATCGATGCGGACGAGACAAGAGCAAGGTTCAACGAGCGGCGCAAGGTCGTGCAGGAGATTGCGCAGGAGGTGTTCACACCGACTCTAGCGCACGTGGGCCGCTGGCTTGCCTCGAGGTGTGCCGCAAGATGCACCGTCGTGGTGGCGCGCCCAAGATGTGGTTTCAGGTGTGGCACAAGGACGGGCGTCCCGCGGAGGGACTGGGCCTGCCATGAGGTGCAGACTCTGATCGAAGTTCTGCACCTCGTGGGCACTTATGACCAGCTGATCATGTGGGCCCCGACGTCGCCCGAGGTTGTCGCGAGGCGCCATCTCCAGTATGCGGGGGCCTATGCGCGCGGCGCAGAGCAGGCCAAGTGGGGGCCGGCGAATCACTTGGCCGAGACAACCGGCCCGCTCGGCCGGGTGCTGGGCGCCTTTCGGAGCTACGCCGGCTGCTTGTCGCAGGAGAAGCGCGAGCTGGAGGCACTTCGGTCGCGCTCGCGCGCGTGCCCGGGGCCGCGCCGGCGGGCCCGGCGCCGGGCGGCGGCGGTCGCGACCGTGGGCGTTGGTCGCGACCGTGGGCCAGTGGGCCCCCAGGGCCTGATGGGGGCCGCGGACAGAGCTGATGGAGGTCGAGAAAGCAGGGGCCAGGCGCGGGCGAGGCGGGCAGGGCCGAGGGCGCCGCCCGCTGGCCGCGCGACGCGCTTGGCCGAGGGAGGCGAGTGCCCGACCGCCCGCCGCGCGCGCTAGGGCAATCAGGGGCCGCGGGAATCTTTGTTCCCGCCCGTAGCCCCGCTGGCGGCGCTGCCGGGCGAGCGGCGCGCGGGCCTCGCCCTGGTCAGTGTTGTCGCGGGCCCCGCGACGGCCGCGCAGCCTGCCTGAGCTTTGAACTACTTGCGCGGCGGTGATCAGCTGGCCAGGCGCTGCAGGGCAGCGTCGGCCAGATCAAGATGGCCACCGTCCAGTCGGGCGCGCGGCGGCGCGTCTTCTCGGCGGCCCGCCGCTGGATCGACGTCGACAGCGCCGTCGCTGAGCAGGAGGCCTTCGCCTAGCTTCTCAAGGGAGAGGCGGGTTGCGCGCCGCTTGGCTCCACCAGCAGGGGCTTTATGCGTGCTCGCGGGCGAGCTTTCCGGACGGCGTCGTCGACGCC